TTACATCCATTGTTCTCTGTAGCGGTTATGTTTACATTAAGTTTAACCCATAAAAACACACTGTAGTCTAACGTATTTGCAATACATTTCCTTCCATATGAAAACAAAATTGCAAAACTAATCTTAAAGGCATTTGATACGAGCTTCAGTTTTCATTTTGCTGCATCTATGCAACTTTCTCATTGCGATAGTTATAAATCAGTATAACAAATGTTTGCTAAATTCAAATAAACTTAGATACACAAAGCAGGTACTCGTGCTGAAAGCCTGTAAGTTCAATGTAGTGCAGTGGTGACTTGCTCAACCTTTAAGTACAAACAATCCGTGTAAGTAAAGGGGGCATGAGAATTTAGGTTACAAAAAGAGGTCAGGGGGGGAAAAAAAAGGACAACACAGGCCGACAAGAACACCGAGCTACCTTTTTCTGATCTTGCGTCATCAGTACTTTGTGTGTTATAGGAGTCATGAGATGTACTGAAAATGTGTTGCTGCTGCAGACGCTGTGCAAACAGAGGCAGCCTCCCAACACACTGCAGGCTGCACCCAAGAGCTGTCAGCCGGTGTTATGAGGTTATAAGTAGGTTGTTTGGGGATACAGCCTGCTGTGCAACGCCAGCGTGTTCCCAGTTTCAAGAGTATAGGCTGTAATAACGCTCTGTTCTCTTACCTTGATCTCGTGACTGCAAGGAGCACCTGGTGGCTAAAGACGGCCATTGCAGGGGCAGATTACTGTATCCTGTTAAAGCACACATGGACACAGAGAGAGAGAGAAAGAGAGCAGAGGTCCGGTTACAATACGATCATATGGTGCAATTGCAGGTGAACTAGAAACAACAACAACAACAAAAAAGCGGTAACAAACGTGCAATTACTCACACGACGTCCTGCCAGTAAGCTAATATGACAGAGCTAACATTAGCATGAGCACAACGGTACAGCGAGTTATGTAACAAGCCGCTTCCCACTGCCTACTAATCTGACAGATATCATACATAACCGTTTCTGTGCGCTTTTCTTTCAAAAAAACAATAACAAAAGTCGACTATATGGACACACAACTGAAACTACACCCAAACGTTACACAGATGTAGCAGCTTAGCTTTGTGTTATGTGCTGTCTATAAATATTAAAGACGTAATTTGATGCTAAAGGTAGGAGGAACCCTTAAACGGTTTTTGGTAAATTTCCACTAACGTTACCTCTTACAACTGCCATCCAAATTATCTTAAAAATAGTAATAAAGGCTATTTTTGAATTCTAGGAAGAGGTGGAAATTTACCGGCACTTTAGGGTTGACATTAGCACCAAGCTAGCACAATATTATTAGAAGCGACAGCTCTCCGCTAGCATAGCCGGTTAGCCTGTTAGCTTTAGCCGGCTAGCTAAGCGAATGAAATGGCAGTCGGCGGATGACGAGCGCACTAACCTCCAGCGTCAATGACCGAGCAATGGCTGCCGCTGCTGCTGCTGCTGACTGGGCGTAGTAAGGCTTCTCGGTGAGACGTGAACAAGATAATCCATCCAAAACAATCGGACGAGGCGAACGGCGGCGACGAAAGCAACGGCTGGTGTGGTGATAAACCCATTTACGGTGGGTTTGCGGTGTTAAATCGCCGGCGGATGCGTCGTCTCTCCGCTCATGTCCGTGTGTGCAGCCTTCCCAGGCAGCTGCACTGAAAGGTCACACTGTACATGCGTGGATGTTGTGTGCGGCGCCGCCCGAGATCGTCTGTAATCGGAGGGATGGATCACTCGGGTGTTTAAAAACAGCTCTCACAATCGGCTCAGGAGAAGTGGGCGTTAACCCTGAAACACATCTCAGGTTACCGGCGTGTATTTCAAGGATATGTCCCCGTAGATATATCTGTGTAGCTTCCAAGTCATCCAGGTCATAGTAATACTTCGTAGTTACTTCATTAGAAGGCAACTGGACTCCTTTTTTTGGTTCGCAAGTTAATTCATGAGAAACTGTACAGGAAGGGATGCCAATACTGTATTATAGCAACCTAATAAATAAAGTTGCAGACCCCCTCCTCTGTTCAGAGAAGTTAGAAGGTGAAACGTCTTCAAGAAAAAGTCCAGCTGCTTTCTACTAAAGCACTCAAGATTCTTGTTTTATATTTTAAAACTTCCCAGCTTTTAATTTGCACCAAAACAGACTTCTTCAGCTCTAAATCAATGGTAAGGGTGTCTCAGGCGTTTATTTTTACCCCCAGATCACATGTCTAATGACCCAGTAGTAACTGACTCAGGACCCATGTGTGCCTTAAGGTGCAACCTGGTTGTGAAATTGGTTGTGGTGCCATAGACCCCTTCCTCTGTTTTTAGTTTTCATCAACAGATCCCCATCAGTCAGTTAGACCTGAGGAAGCCTCCTGGATGAGAGGTGAAGCGTCCTCAAGAATCAGAAGTCCAGTTGCTTTCTTGTAAGACACTAAGAGTCCCTGTTAATACATTTTCTTAACTGAATTACAACACATCTTACATTAAATGTGCTTATAATAGATTACATTTCAACCAACAAGAGTATCATTAACCCTACCTCTGAGTTCACCAGTGTTTTTACACACAACTCAGACTATCGGTGTAGACTTTGGGGATACATCCTCCTCAACATGTCTGTGTCGATTTTTAAGTCGTCCAGGTCACAGTAATCCTGTTAAAAGTCAGCTGGACTCCTGTTTTTGGTTCTTAAACAGGATTCATGTCTCATCCAAGATGCCTCATCATTTATAAATAAATGGTGGGTCCCAGGTATTTATTGCTAACTTTCAAATGACATGACTAATGATCCTCAAGGCCCACATGCCTCGAGGTGCTCATAGTTGTGAAACTGTCAATGAGGGGATCTGAATTCTGCATGATAAGTACCCGATACAATATGAAAGAGAAGTCCAGTTGCTGTCTGGCAAAGCTTTTTGGGGCAAACACGTGCATTTTTAAACTAAATCATTGTGTCCATTGCTTATATGCTTCTCGCTTTGTCCCAAACTATTTGCCTGGTGGAGATCTGGCACTGAAACATTGCACTTATAGATGTATTTTTGCATGTTACACTGTGTGCATCCTCTTTTGTGCACTTTCTTTATGAAGTAGATGCTCAAAGAGTTCTTTTGTAGTAAGTTGGTAAAACAGACACAATTTCAAATAGCATGTGCAGTAATAACCTCAGTCCTGAACTTGCTCTTAGTGGTTCTGGACTTCTAACTGGAAAAGTATAAAGAATTTTCCTTTGAATATGTTGCTGCACATGTCAAGGTTTAGAATCACTTCTGCTTAGAGCACAATCAGGCAAAGTGAAAATAACCCAAACACCAGAAGATCAGCACTAACTTTGAGAACTAACTTCACTAAACACAGAGTGCAAGTGTCCATTTGGCAGAAGTCCAATCAAAAGCAGGCTGTTGTTGCTCCACTGTTTGTGTTTCCTAACTTGTAATCCTGAGAGCTTCAGCAGAAGGGTGTGAACGCTTGTGAAACCGCCAAGTCAGGGATGACTCAAGATGTTAATGGTGGTGAAACTTGCTCAAAGGAGATCTCAGGCCAGCGTTATACACCCCAATACAAACTATTATTTTCTCTGTGAAATCAGTTTCTGAATGCACTTCAAGCAAAAACACAGGCCGAGCAGATTTATGTTTGATTTAGTGATTATTGCACCTGCACTTTTCCTGCTTTGACATGTCAAAATGTCTGCTGTGAGCAACTTTAGAGTCCTGTTTTATGATAAGTAACGTTTGTATTATCCTCAATTTTTTCATTCTCAGCTTCCAGATGTTTCTGCTTGTGTGACTGAGTCCCAAATATCTAATTTACCCTTCCATATAAAACAAAAGCCACAGAACACCTCCTATAGCTGATGTGGAATATCTGACACCTGAAATAAACATTTAACGAGTAAAGAGAATTATTAAGTCAGTTGGTAAGACTCAGGTATTTCTGGATGGAGGTGCTAAGAGGGTCAGCACACTGCAGTTTAATAAAACACATGCAGATAGTCACAGCACAAGCGAACTAAGAACCAACAATGGTGCACAGATGTTGCAGCAGCACCAAATATACTGCAAGTAAGTTTCAAAGCAATATGTTTTACATTTTATACCTGCTTTGCTTTTTTATCTGCTTTTTGTTCCACTTGTTTGCTTCTGTTTTTATCTTGTACCCTGTAAAGCGACTTTGAGCATCTAGAAAAGCACGAGACAAAACAAATGTATTATTATTAATAATATAAAAGTGTGCTTTGTTTTCTGACTTTGCAGCATATTTTTTGTGCATGAGTCTTCAAATGAGAGAAGCTGCCTCTTTAATTTGATTGTTTGTTTGTTTAAAAGTTGCACTGAGTTTATCAGGAAAAGCATATTTTTGTAATGGTCATATTTCCAACCAGAGGTGAGGCTCCATATCACCCTGTTTCAGCCCCACTTGGCTATTCCTTGCTATTGTTTACCACGTGAACTTTAATAAATGAATTGTACATCAAGCTGCTAATCTGTTGTTGTTTTGGAGTTTTTGTTCCTTGTGTTGGTCAAAGTTTGGCCCAAATCAACAACAAACGGTTCTCATTGTGTCCTGGGCCTTTACAGTGTGGATTAGGTGTGGTGATGTTTTATATATATATATATATTTATAGCATTCAGCTTCAGCATCAGCTTTGTAACAACCTGCCTGAGGAGATGAGGTTCACAGATTCACTGACGTCTATAAAACCACTCATTGAGGCTTTATTGCATTTATAATTTTATTTCCATTATTCGAGGTCAAATCACAGTAGCAGCGGGCCATTCGAGGGCATGCCAGACATCCCATTACCCAGAAACGCTTCTCCTGAGGCGTTTGCAGGCCAGATGAGATATAAATCCACCGGATTCTGGGTCTTCTTCTTGTTAGACGGGCCCAAAAAAAATCCTCAAAGGAACGGTGCCCTAATCACCACCTAAGCCGGCTGCATTTGATACGAAGGAGCAGCGACTCCCACGTGTCCAAGCTCCCATTTCGGCCTCTTGTCTCCACGATCTCATTCTTTCGGTCACTAACCATCTGTGAGGGACTTCCTGGTGTCCGGCTTTTCCTTTGCCTGTTGTTTTTATAACTGTTGCATACATAAAGTTATCATTATTATTATTATATATGATGTCAAGTCAAGTCTAAATTCTCTTTTGAAGCTGTAGATCAAAAGATGCAAACAAACAGGTAATAAAAACACTGAACTGCGTGAGTGAAAATAATTAGAGAGCAATAAATAAATTACACTATAAAGTCCATTAAATTCTTGACTCTGGGGACAGTGAGTTTATGGGTGCATCCATAAACAGGAGGTGGTGCATCACATTTGTTTTTGGCACTCTGATGGCAGCGTGTGAGAGGAAACGATGCATTTTCAACCACTGTGCAGATTCACCTGCACAACATACCGAGTGGGAGGAGCAACAAACCCCCAATTGAAACCAAAACTCAGGTGTTAATGGATCCTTAAGAAACTCCCAACTAGTCAGTCAGAACTGATGAAGCCTCTTGCATGAAACGTCTTCAACGAACTCAAGCAAATCCACGATTACTCCACGAGAATAACCTGTGGACTACAGCGTGCGGAAACAGAGGCGGAGTGAGACATCTTCGCTTTTCGCCTCCTCTCGGCTGCAGATCAGGAGAGGAGGCGTGTGACAGCCAATCAGAGGCGCTGCTGCAACCGCGACTACAGTAGTAGAGAAAAAAACATAACAATTATTTAATAGCGAAAAATCCATAAAAATCACCTCGAAGGCAAATTGTGCTTTTAAATTATTTTTAAAATTTATTTTTCTTCCCACTCACATGAAATAGCATGACATGAATTTCCTCTTTCACTCCAATGTAGGCGTGACTTTTCTTTCTTTTTTTTTTTTTTTTGCTGCTACTGCTGCTGCGTTTGAAGCCCTGCTCCTCCTGCATGTGTGTGTGTGTGTGTCTTTTTTTTCCTCCTTCTTCTTCTTCTTCTTCTTCTCTCTCCAATTAAAGTCATACTCGACCAGCGTGCACGGTGGAAGTATGCGCCCCGACAAGTAAACTACACATCCCGGAGTGCCTCTGTTGACCCCTGCAGCCCGCATCTGTGTGTGGTTTGGCGCTGAGCTGGAAGAAGACCGAGCGGGGCCTTAAAAAAAAAAAAAAAAGAAGAAGAAGAAGAAGAGCCAGCGCTGCTTTTGTTGAACCGGAGCAAGAGGGAGCTAGAGATTATAATTGTTATTAAGAAGAAGAAGAGGACAAGGAAGAATTGTCTTTCTCCAGCAAGCAGAGCTAAAAAAGCTTTCGGGTCCTTTCCACTGACGAAGGAGCCCAGCTTTGGGATTGGGCAGCGAGCAGATAGCGTAACACCCCCTCCTCCTCTCTCTGTGGAGAATTGCGTTAAAACGAAAAAGGAAAGGCCTGAGCTTTATCAGTATCACTGGATTATTTTTTTTATTTTTTCCATTTTTTTTTACCCCCCTACTCCCTCCTTCAACCTCTATAGATTAAACGAGGAAACGCTGCTGGCTGGTGTATGTGTTTAGAATGGGACACGCTGAAGGTATTGACATCTTTTTTTTTTTTTTTTTTTTTTTGTATTTCCCTGCATCTTCTCGACTCGGCATCAAAATCCGTGCCGCCGCCGCCGCCGCCGCTCCGCTCTCCTCTTTAGCGATAAGCGTGTTGGCCGTATGTGCATGTTGTTTCTCCCCTTTCCCCTCACGGTGTGTGCTTCTCTCAAAGCCTCCGCAAACGGTTCGCTCGCAAGCTAGCTTGTTTTCAGGCACATTTCCCCCCGCAAACCGCCAGTGATGGAGGTTTAATCACGGCAGACAATTTGATTTAAAGGGGCAAAGGCAGCCATATTGGCACTGGAGCGTTAGCCTAGCCAGCGTTAGCTTCCTCCCCCCCTCCTCCTCTTTCATCTCGCTCCATGTGTGCTTGCACATACGTGGATAAACAATAACCGGGAACATTTTTAGCCGTGTGTGGCGAAACACAAACGGTCCCGTCCAGCCCGTTTCGTGGCCGTTTTCCCGGCCGTTTCAGCGGCTCCCATCTCCCCATCACGATCCCTTTGATGCCAGGTAGCTTTAAGCTAGCATCGCAGGAAGCTATAAGATCACCCAGGGAAACATTTCTGTGTGCGCAGTCGTTTTTAAATAAAACCACACGGCTGTAAGCAGATATTAATGTTCTCCACGCCACATGTGAGCCCGAGATAACATTACAAGCCAATCTAGGCAGCTATTGACCGCTAGTTGACACCTTATGGATGTTTACATCACCGACGTTCACCTTTTCTCACTCGTGTGTGTGTTCGCAGATTAAAACCTCAAATCAGTGGATTCGTGGCTTCACCAAACTCTGTTCAGCTGATTTAATCATCAGGGTTTGAAGGTGTCCAGCAGAAAAAAAGGGTCCAAAGCAGCCCATTGGTTGGATGCTCTTTGTTTTGTTTGTGATAGCAGGCCACCATGTGTTTGTGTTGATGGAATAAAAACAGTAAATGATCAATAGGTTGTGAACAGATGATTAATGGAGGCCCAACAGGAGCCCGCAAAGTCATAAATACGAGCTGCCTGCAAATTAAAAGCAAGTTTAGAGATAAAACACGGTGATTAAGGGCTGAGGATTTGACTGCACAAGTCCACTTATTGTCTGCTGGCATCCAACATCCAGGCTAGTTTATCACCCCATCATTTCTTTATCCTCAATTAATCATCTCGTTGCATCCAATAATAACCACGGCCTATGCATAAAAAGTATATATATGTTCAGTTTATTGCTTTAAAACACAGAAAAATGAACTAAAATCCACATTTCAGGAGCAGGAACTAGTGAATCGCAGCTCAATCTGAAGTGATTATCAAAATTGCTCCGTTAATCCGCCGCTTTTGAGTTTATTAGGAGCTAAAGTTAGATCGCAGAGATGGAACCAAAGACCTGACGTGTCAGAATCTCTGACTGTATTGTGGTACGTATGTGTAAATACGTAAATTTTTAATGAAGTGGCCGCAAAACAGCTGATACGCGGCAAAACCAGAGGCAGGTTAGTGTCCTGAAATAGGAGAAGGTGTTGGTTAAATATTGTGACGTGGATGTTGTGGACGGTGTCTGATGGACGTTCACGCTGCAGGAAGCAGAGGTTTGGATGTGTGTGATGGTAAAGTGGTGTTAAATAGTTTCAGAAGGTTTTGTAAGTGATAAATGAGAAGTCAGAGCTCGTTTAACTGCACAGTGTCTCTGTCAACAGGTCCAGTCAAAGAAAAAGACAGTTAAGGATGCAGGAGCCCAACAATGGATTTCTCCTTCTCTTTCATGCAAGGGATCATGGGAAATACAATTCAGCAACCCCCTCAGCTCATTGACTCAGCCAACATCAGACAGGAAGGCACCTGCGACACCGGCAGTGACCCAGGTGAGGATGGTGGTCCCTCCTACGATGCTGCCCTGGATGCAGAGTTTCCTTACCCGCCGTCAGCCTCGGAGGACATGCCGCAGGTCCCCAATGGCTACCCGCCGGGTCTGGGCATGTACGAGCCGCAGGCCAAGTTCTCCATGTACTCGCAGTTCCCCAACGGCTCGGCCAACGGCTACGGGGCCATACGGAGCTACGGAGACCACGGGCTCATGCCGGGAGAGGGGACGGTCCTGAGAGGCCCCGGTCTCCAGGAGAGACCCCTGTCCCCCGTGTCTCCCCCGCTGCCCACACATCACCCGCACCTCCACCACCATCACCATCACCCGCATCACCACCACCACGCGCACCACTTCCACTCAAACCCGCCTCACATACAAACCCACTCGCACCCGCAGAGTCCGCCGCCGCAGGTGCTGCCCCCCCAGCACCACCTGCCCCAGACGCCCCACATCATGACCCACAATCTCCCCCCGCCTCCCCCGTTGCACCTGCCTTCCTCCAGCCCCCCTCCATCCCTCGTGGACAGCACTCCCTCGTCTCAGCCCACCCACGCCCCGTCCATCACCCCCGGTGGGGTGCTGAAGAAAACCAGCTCTCCGGAGATCAAGCTCAAGATCATAAAGACGTATCAGAACGGGAAGGAGCTGTTTGAATCTGCGCTGTGTGGAGACCTGCTGCAAGAACTGCAGGTAATGCAGCTGATTCTACACTCGCACACACCAACACCGGTCCATACCCGTCACTGAAGACACTGTCAGGGTGTATTCTGCACATCCTGATGTGTTTTTCACTCCAGAGATGCATTTCATTTACAATCTTCAGTATTTTATGAGAAAAGAAAAGCAAAAGCACGCATCCTCGACGTTAAAGCAGAAATGAATGCGACTCATTTCTACTTGTGGTGGCGTCCCGGCCGACCGATAGTTACTCCTGGTGTGTTTGTGTTATTTCCCCTTTATTCCTCCATTCTGCACATTATTTGTTCACCAAAGCAACGAGCTGCGTCAGTCCTCAGGAGAACAATGCGTCTCCAGACTCTCTTTCATGTTTTTATCGCTTCTAGAGTTTGGAGAATTTCTTCCAGGATTAATACAGTTTTATCTTATCATATCGTTCCCTATCTCGTTTTATCATAATGAGCTAGTCAACGAGGAGAAAATTAATCAGCAGGTTGTCCACTTAACAGTTAAGGCGTGTACCAGATTAGCACAATGCAGCGAGCAAAACAGCCGCCGTTCTCTCCCTCCTCACTCGTGTTCACCCCGACTTCTACGCCGTCCCGTCCAGTGAAGGTAAAGATCCCAGAGCAAAGTAATCAGCAGCAACTTTAGGGGATTTTACGTGCAGGAATAACGAACCTCCGCTGGTTTCATCCTCCTGAATGAGAGGATTAACTGCTCGCTTCTCTCTTGTGATATTGTAAATTGAATATCTTCAAACTGTGTTGGACATTTTTGTGGTGATTTCTAAATAAACAGTGAATTAGTAAATGTGTAGATCAGTGCAAAATAGCACAAACATCATAAGCCTCTTGAATAGCAAAGCTTCTTTATTCTGGACAACAAAACTCGCTTATTAACTTTTTCCGCTAGCTCCTAATCATGTCTCATAGCCGTCCTTAATGTCAGCGTAAGCCTCTTGGCAGCTTTCGCGATACAGTATTAAACTCACCCTGCTTTTATCTTTGCCTGTTTTTATTAATGTCAACAAAACTACACCTGAAGGCTCCGCAGATCATTCTCACTGTCAAACTTTATACTTAAATGAGAAAAGAGGAGAAGAAAAGATCTTATCCTGACCTCTTCTGAACTGATCCTTCTTCTTGGCATTAGTTAAACCCTGAAGTTTATTCATCAGGAAACTTAAAAACTACTAAGATGTTTATTGAGATGGCTAACGGCTAAATTTGTTCCTACGTTTTGGATCGGGGGAAACACCAAAAGATCATTGAACAAACAAACACTATACCTTCTTACCAGTTTATTCTCTACAACGCCTGACAATAACAAAAGGTGAATATTACAAATCCTTGGAGTCCAAGGTGACGACTTTGTCCCAGTAGCACACCGATTCAGTTTAAGACAATGAAAAG